ACAGTCAGCTGACATAATAACGGGCTGTCTACTAGTTGAGCCCGGGCTAATCCGGCTGCATTCTTTAAGGCTTATGAAAATGAAACGCTTACTCCGATTCAAGTATCTTTTTGAAGAGCAGCATGGAAAAAAAAACAAAAACTGAAGAGAGAAAAAAAACAAAAAAAAAAACTTTTGACTTTGCACCTTAAATTTGCGAATTCTGCATGCCCTACCTGCTACGGCTGTGAGTGGTCTGCTCATTATTTTGCAAATGTGTACAAATTATGTGTGAAGGGCACGAGCCGTCGCCCAGAGGCTGCCCGAGTCTGAGCGGGTCTCTGAGGACTCCATCACTGCACTGGGACCAGCTGTGAGGCCTTTTGTGTTTTCCACACACATTCATCAATGGCATTAAATTGTGATCCATGTTGGGCACGCTCTATAGATAATACACCACACGATAATGCTCGGTGTCTTGGCAGTGCCACTTGGAACAGCTCTTTTACAATACTCCCATTTTTGTTTTTTGGGGCCGGCAACTCAGTTTTTAACCGGTCCTTCGGAAATATGGATGGAGCAACTGTGACATCGCCCGCAGCTTTCTGAAAGGATGTTTGTGAAGCTTGTCCTCTAAAATCAATTGGCCCGCTGTACAGCAGCCACTCTCAGGAGGACACCAGCTCAAACACCAAGAGCAAATTAAACAAGTTCTTTGTTTGAGATAAAAGTCATGGAGCTAGATGGCAAGCTACACAGTCTGAAGTATTTTCTTTCTTTCTTGGGAGCTGGCCGTGTCCATCGCCGGCTAAAACTGGTCATGAATATGGGATTTACAGTACATGACAGGTGGTGAGAAAGAAGAGTGTAAATGGGATGCCCGCGGCGCTCTGTGTGTGTTTGATGTGAAGTGATAAACACGAGGAGGTGTTCTGGTTCTGATATACAACCATGATGGACGAGGTGCATAATTCCTCCGCCATGTCAATCATTTTGTATATATAGAAAGCTCAAATTGTCTTTTTCAGTTTATTCCGTGGTTATGTTTTTAACCAGCTGCCGGCTGTTGCTTCATATTTATCATAGAGACATGGTAGAGCTTAGAGATGCACATGTCAGCTGATCGGGTGATCGGTCTCATATCTGTATATTTTAGGTATTTAGGTAAATTTTACATTTGCCTGATGGTTTTACCACACATAGCGGCATAGACTCCAAGTATACGTTAGCTTCCGACGTTGCCTGGCTACCTGCCCAGGTGCTCCGTAGACACACTTACCCACCACATCTAAAATGTGTCCTGATTTGCCTCGTATCTGTGGTTTCTCCCGTCTGACCCACAAAGGGATATTAGAACCTTTTAGTGTATTCAATTGCTGCCGTCATGCAGGGGAATTAATAAAAGTCAGCAGTTGTTATTTACACCAGGTGTGAACAGTCTGCCAGCCACAGACAGTAAGGCGAAGCTATTTACTGCATCTGCAGATAGACACTCGTGCCTGGAACACTTTATCCACGCCGACAAATACATAAATTCAGAATGTAATGGGATTTGGGAATGTTTAGCCCACATAACGCATACATTATCATGGATTTATGCTTAAGACTACAATGTGATTTAACACCCGGTTTACATAGAGGGGAGGCACAAATGTAATAGAGGTGAGTTGTATATTTTTAGACCAAGGGAAGGCCCCGCCGAGATGATTGACGGTAATTAATTTGATGCTATGATTAATCCGACAAAGAAGTAACTAAGAGACAGAGCACCATTTCTAACCAAACTGACTTTAAACATACGACTGACTTCCCACGCACATCCCATACACATGAATATTAAACACACACACACACACACACTGTAGTTACAGACCCATTAAAAACAGTAAAATCAATGTCTCAGTAATGCGTAGAACCATTTTACAGGTAACGTATTAACATGAAAGTCAACCGTGGCTCAACGGGGCCTCGTTCGCACCGACGACACCAGTGAAGACGGGTGAATTATGGTTTACTATTCCATTTTGAAACATGAGATGATTGCTATTAAAAAAAAGGGGGTCCATTAAAGGTCTTCCGGTAATGTCTCCACTGCTGGCGGGTCATAAAGCTCTGTGGCGTCCCAAGATAAAGACCATCAATAATTTACTTCCGTCTGCTGGCTTCCCACTCCGCCCCCCCGACTGAAACTGGGCTTTCCAGTTAAAGGACCGTTCCACGTGTCGCATCGACGACAAGACAAATACAACCCAAAAATTCCCTCCTATAGCTGGTTTTTGGGGTTGTTTACTACAAAAGTTTACACGTTGAGTTGCACGTCCAGTTGATTTTACATTCCTCTATTTTAACTTTTAATTTCCTCAGAGACAGGACACCGGGGACAAGAAGGGCGGGGCCCAATAAGGTCTAAAGTAAACCATTTTTATGCATCAATAAACCAATACAAAGCAATCAAAGTCTCAGTTCTCTTCCCTCCGTCTTATATGCATAGCACAACCTGGAGCGTTGAGGTCCTATTGGTCCTCAAGACATCCTGCCATGAATAAACCATTCAGCAGGGTATTCCTGTCCACCTGTGGCACCCTGCCCACTGACGGAACAGCTTTCCTGCTCAAAAAAAGAAAAGAAATAGGTTTGGCCTACAGCTGCTCTCAGAAATAGATTCTTCCAGCTGTAAGGCATGATGACCCAAATGTTAAGTGCTCCTCGCCAGTTTTGTTGACGTACCCATAGAGACATGGAACTGAAACAGTGTGAACAAACAGTGTGTATCTCACTACAACGGTGTTTCCTCATTCGCTTCGGCTCAATTCTCAAATGAGAATTTTTGATCTCGAAACAATTAGTTCTTAAGAGATTTCTTTTACTCATTTATTCAAGCAGATTGCTCGTGTTTTGGCACATGTGCAAAAGAAGAGTTCATGACATTTGCACACGGCTCGCTGATCAAAAACCGACGAGTTGATTCTCAGTGAAACGGTCGTACTCTTAACTTTGAAACATTCGTTCAGGGTTTGAGCCATCAAATGCAAAATGGCCCATTCAATTATGAAGATCTGTCATACATACATGTATGATCTATAAATATCTGTGAGCTGGTGTTGCGTACTGTGAGGTACAATGTGCTGTTTTTCCACTGACCTACCGCAGGTTATTTCATAAACGGAGATTTTTTTTTGAGCATGGATGTTATTTTGAGGTAAATTCCATACAGTGCATGTAACACCGTTACACAGAAATGTGCACATCATTTTTATGTTTAGTACAGTTTTGTGCAGTACTGATTTTTTTCCCGGGGAACATTTTTACCTGCGGTTGAATTCGGAATGTGAAAAGCTCAGCGCCATACACTGACTAACCGGACATTTGTGTACAGCACAGTGAGCCTTCAGTGTGGACAAACAAAAAATATGTGTACAAAAGAAACATTTTGACTGCCATTGTGAGACTTCTCATTCTACTGGTGTTGGCCAATTTAGTGACACAATAAGGTTTTAAAGCATGAATGAAATGTTTTGACGAGATGGAAAAGTGGCCGATGGTATGTACTGTTGTTCAGCGGCCTGGAGTGGTGTGCCGTGTATATGTGAGTAACATGCAGTAGAGTTTAGATGCTACATGAGCAACTGTTTTGACGATTGCACTCACTGAAGGTTAAGACGATTTCACTAATTGGTCAAAGCGATTGAGAAACGCTGTAAATGCCACTTCCTGAAAGTAAAGGAAGTTTTGGTGAGTAAAGGAACCGTCTTATGCTTTAGTTGTCTTCGTGATTATTTGACCATCCAACTCTTCATCACGCTTTAGAACAATGGGATACATGGTGCACATCATTGTCCCATTTCTAACCGATTAGTCCAACAGAGCTGATTACTATCTTTAAAAAAAAAGCATAATTTCTAAAAGGACAATATCAGTCATCGATCATCAAATACAAAAAGGCCAATCTTGCTTGGCGTACACCTCTATGGGTTCCTATGCACTTCATCATGGATCAGTATTTCTGGCACAAAAACTATTTAGATGTGCACACATAGTCCCAAACAGTCTAATAAGGCTGCATGTTAAAGCTAATAAAATTTAATATTTGAGGCTTTCATGCGGAAAAGAAAAGTTAAGATATGGCAGCTTTAACCCCCGTCAATACATCCACTCTAGGTGGTATTGTATTGTGGATGACTGACCCAGACATGTACAGCACATGCTGATGTGTATAAATGGTGATGAAGAGTGAAAGCATGAACAGGATGATGATGTCTCACAGTAAAAGGTTGACAGGTCCACGTGAGGTTGAGCAGTGGAAAAATAAAAAGTCCTGTGGCCCTGAGTGAGGGGTCAGTGAGTGCACTCTACAACACTCCGCTGTTGGCCTCCCCATCCTCCTCCAGCAGCCGGCTACTTTCCATATTTATTAGGCCAATATTTCTAATCTTTCTCCATTTCACAGACACACTTTTGACGGGAGCAGACCAAAAAAAACGTCGGTCCCTTCGGGGACACATAGAGGAAGTCCACTTTAATCAGCATGGCGGTATTTGAGACCGAGAGGACAGTGATCCGTGACTAACGTGCGAGCATCCTCATCAGGACACTCATAGACGTCAGTGACGTTTCATGAACGTACAGACGCATATTCCACCTCCTGAGCATTAGTGCGTTAAAGCAGAGCAAGACCATTCAGTCTTTACCAATGCATGCATGCAGAGCCAGACAGAAAGGCAAACAAAGTCCTGGAATTATAACAACCCCCCGTGTAATGAATTAATGTGTGTAGGTGGGGTACAGACTCAAACCTTTTCACCCACAATATAAATGTTTCCCAACGGGGGACTACGGGCTTATTGAGCTCGCGGTGGCATTGGCTTCACAGAGGGGCGGGACCATTCAGACACTGACACAGTGGACTTAAAACACGCTGTAATGAATGCACCCGCTAATCACAGGTCGCCCGTGGCTTTCAGGTAGTTAGTTTCTTTAAAAGGTTATCCCTGGACCTGTAGGAGCGTTAAAGGACTACTTACTCTTGAGCGCAGTGATTAGCATGTTCCCATCCTTGATTAGCTCTTTGATGAATTTATTGGTCCGCTCCAGCTCGATTTCGTGGCATTTGAGACGCTCCCTGAAGTCCGGACTGTCCAGGAAAGAGTCACTGAACTCCAAAGTGGGGAGTCCCATTGCAGCGACCTCAACGACGAAGTTTCCTTTCAAACTTTACACGAAGTATACACGTTTTTTTTGTGTAATTTGCATCACGTTGTGCAGCTGTGATGCGGCCGTCTCACTCTGCAAGTTCGCCGCCCCCCAAAAAAAAGTTGTGCAGCTCCGCTTCGTCCCTCACTTCCGCTTTGATTTTTTTTGGGCTACCTTTCGTAAAACAGTGGTTGTGTGACTCCTGCTGGTTAGTTTCGGATAGTTTGAAACGGTTTCTGTGGACCAGCGGTCGGTCTCTGTTCTCAAACATGCAGGGACTAGATTTTACACGTCAACCTACCGTAGTTCAAAATGAAAATACTTTACAAAAACACTTCACATGCATAAAAGCACAACAATTAAATGAAACGCATACATAGGTGGGCTATAGTCCTATTTCCACAGAGTTAAAACAGAACTGGCTCCACAGTTTTTGGGGGTTCCTGAGGAGAATATCCGCCAACCCCACTTCACTCACTTAATTTAAACCAAAACTTACAATTAGAAAGAGATTAGTCTAATAAACAGGGTTGAACAGGCTATTTTAACACATTTTGACTGTCAGAGTAGGAAAAGCACAGGCGTAAACAATGATTTTAATGATGGCTGAATTCCATTTAGCTGCTCTGCTTGCAGGATTCCCGGTATGGTAATGACGCTCACTGTCACTCTCACTGGATACTTGAATAGAATGGAGCCATCGCTAGCTTCATACCTAACACCTGTGCTTTAAATAAAACACCTCTGCTGGGCATTTGAGGTCAGTTTCTGTGCAAATACAGGAATAGTACAAAACCGTGAGATAATATTTGTGCGCACACATTAATCTTATGACAAAATGGTGGCCCACCATGCCCCGAGCACCGCTGCTCATGCCCCGGGCCACCTTTGAGTCAGCGCATCACTCAGCAGCAATATGCTAGTGCCATGTCTACACTGATTTAATAAAGCTTTTTAAACAGTTTTACACCTGCCAAACGGGCTGTTCGTGGCATATCTCTGTGACAAATTTCCTTCTGCTTCACATCCAAATGCAGCAACACAAACAGTGGGATTCTGCAGGCTTTTTCCACAAATACACAATATTTAACTCCTGTTTGTCATTACTCAGTGTTCCAATTAAACAAGATATTTGCTATAATAGCCTTACGTTTTATTTCATTGTTATCTTATTATTACACCCTCTGAGCTGTGGCTCAGTCAGAATCGCTGGTTAAATGATGCCAGTGGGCTTGCTTTGCTAAAGCACTGAAGTGTGTGCTGTGTAGAAAATGATGGGTGACAATGCATCATACTGGAATTAGTGAGGGGTTTGAGGAGAGGGATCTGAATTAATACCTTGGTAAATGGAAGTAATTAAACAGGAGCCTAATTGGAGTTAAAGGAATTCGTCACATACTCCTCACGCAACAGGGAAGGATAGTGATAATGATGTCACACCCCAAAAGAGTCTTTTTGTTAGGCATGGAGCGGAGTCTTTTAGATGACTCTTTCTACTGATGGTGCTTTAGAGCAACAGGGGGCTGAGATGCGGCTTTATCTCTGAGCAAAGTGCAAAAACAATCTCCACGGAGAGGCGGATGTTGGAGCACCGGCTGGAACCAACACACACACACACACACATGAAAGCGTATTAATAATTTAAAGCTTTGCTATGGAGAGTGTGGATGGGGCGTTTGCTCTGTGTCATTTGAAAAAGTAGCCTCGTGCCCATCTTCCATAATAAGTAACTCGCAGCCTAATAACATAATAAGACCTGCTTTGACTGTAGGTAGCGGAGAGATAAATCATGGGAGACAGATAACCTTCCTGGGCAGAGTCGTGTGGATGCTTGTTAGAGTGCGTTAGCGTCACATTCCAGCAGCGGTCCATCAGGCCTGTGGTCAAAATGCATTCTCAAAATAGACAACAACAAATTATATATGATTTATTGTTATTTCATAAATGTAATGTGCTCATGTGAAAGTCACGCCACGATGCTTCATCTGACCAGGTACAAAGAAAAATAAATGTAAGCAGCGTACCAGGAATATTTTGTCAGAGCTTTGACAAGCTTGCTTCGTGCTGCACCTAGGGGACCACAATGACATTATGAATCTGCCAAATCAAGGGGAGCTTAAAAAGGTTGACTGAACGGGACACGTCTACGGCTTCAAAATGTTAATGTCCAACTGAGAATACACAAATAGGAAGCTTCCCGAGATGCGAGACAGGGTCCCTACGCCCTAACATAGCAGATTGTTATTGGAAAACACACAAAAAAAAAAGGATTGGATCTGAAGAACACAGTGGATATACGCTACAGTACCATAGGTTCACTAATTCAAGGTCACGCTGGCTCTCAGGTCTTTCTTGGATTATTTACATTCCCTGATGAAATGACACATCACCCTCTTCTATCTTGTTGGCCATGAGTGTAGCAGCTATAGGTTTGACTACAGTGTATTTTCTGGCTCTGCAGCACACACACACACACACACACACACACACACACACACACACACACAGGAGTGAGCTAGAGCTAGCTGCGAGGACATGGAACTGAAACAAAGTCTGGCCTCTGGCTGCACCTGAGGAACCAGCAGCAACGGCTGCATCTTTTCCTTCACACGAACGCATTCGCAGTGATGAAATCTCACATCTGCTCGTGAAACCGGACCCCCCCCCCACCTGAGTGCGTTATTGGGGAGGCGTAACACTCATTGTGGTCACCACTAAAATCACATTAAACTTGTGTTTAATGTGACGAGGCTTTTGCCCGGGGATATGTGACTACTGCAGCTGTGATAATACCCTTGCATGCGACTATCCATTTGGTGGGCCAGACCGTGGGAAAAGCAACGGTTCACTAATCAGGTAATTCTATGAAAATAAAGCCGAATACGCAATGCATCTCGGCAGTTATGGTGCTTTTGGAAGAATTATGCGGAGGAGCAGTCGAAAACACTGCCTTAACAGCCCACCGGTTGAGACTTGTGGACAAGCGGTTAGCTGTATGACGCATGGCTAATTGCAATCTAAAATAGCTGCCTGTAGAGTCTTTGTGGGGAATTTGGTTTAATTAAGATGATGCCCAAAAGAAAACTGTGTCCCTATCCTCCTCTCTCACGAAAAAGGCTCACATTTGTGTTAGTCATGCAAACATGAGTCTACCGAGAAGCAGTGTGCAAGTCTTTCTTTGTGACTGCACCTTTGTAGACCAACCAAGAACCACAAAGAGACAGACAATGCACACATCTCTCGAACCACACACAGGCTTTTTGCACACAAACAGTGATCGAGTGAGACATCTTGCACATATCTTACACGTGGGGTGGGGGATATTAGATATGAGACACACATCTTCCCCAGTCCCTGTTCTCACTGCATTAAAGGGGACCACTCTGGCCTTGCCTGATGGAAGCTAAAAAAAAACAGGCTTGAACTTCACAACAGATATCCATAATCCATGCAGAATGAGCATCGATTAGCTCTTCAAAGAGTTATGCGCAAGTCAGGCGGCCCCTGATTAGATTTCCTCGGATATCGCTGCATCACACAGCGGGGGCAGTCAGTGCATGCGAAGGGGGATGTCTGGTCTCCTGGTGGTGGGTGGAGGCGGGGGGTGGGGGGTTGTTGGTTCCTAACATGCCCCCATCAATTCCAGCTCTCGTGCCATCATTCTGCGGCAGGCAGCCCTCGGGGGTGCAGTTTGTTACTTTGACGCGGGGAAACGCGATACATTAGCAGGAACCCTGTTGCTCCCATTTAATTGCCGTGTGCACTCTGCAGTGCTGGCCTGTGTTATTGGGTGAGATGATGATGACTGTGAGATGGACTTTTTGAAGAAAAAAAATACTCAATTTTCTATTTGAAAAGTGCAGAGGTGAAGGAGTATATGTCACACTTGCCATGTGTACTACAGGATACAGCTCATAGGTCTGACTGTGCCAGAGGAAGACATAATCAGTATGAACCATAGCTGCACAGTTAAAAAACAGATATGCGTGAATTTTTATTAATTATGCACTTGAGACAAATGGATGCATCAATAAAAAAAAAGAAGAAAAAAGACAGGATTAGATAACTAGACTTTTTGTGATGGCAATTACCTCAAAATAATATGAGCTGTTTTCCCCAATTAACAATTGACACTGCCATGCATGCTCTTCATTCAAATCAGGTATTAAATCAGGTATTAAGGTAATTGCACAATTTCCGGGTGACACTCGGCTCAGTTCCAGAGGAGAGCTTTTGAGAACAAGGCCTGTCACTGTTTTTTTCCCAGCTCGTGATTAATGACCCTAATTTAGCAGAGGTTTTTTTATCCAATCGTGCGCTGACATTTCCTATCAGATGAGTCCTTCCTCATTCTTTCCGTTGTTTACCTCCTGACAGTGCAATCTACCAAAGTGGCAAGTGCCGGGCTCTCGTTTATGACTCCCATGTCCAGATGACGTTTGAGCAGTTATGCGTGATTACCTCCTCTTTACACAAAGAGGCATCTCTAAAGCATGCGAGTGTCCACGGGGACTCCATTTATTGCTTTTCCTGCCGCACGGTGAAAATTGGGACGGTTAGCTTTTTTAGCTTGAAATGCCAGGCCAGTTGAGTTCGATGTCAGGTAAAGGACACATCCCTCGGAAAGTGCTCGGGAGCAAATGCAATCCGGCACACATGAAAGTCTCGTCCGCGTCTCTGCAGCCGTAGCTTTTTGACTTACATATCTCCTCGGTGCACATAAGAGGGGTTGGCCTTCTGCAGCAAAGCGGTTTGATTTTTTTGCCTCATTGACCTTCACGAGGTGAAACCTGTCCAGGCGGACCCTGGGCACAAATTTAAGTCTGGATGATGAATTACAAGAGGTGCACCATACCAGCGTTGTAAGCAAACAGTTTGTGTGCTTCGTCGGGACTTTGGCTTTAATTTGGAGGAGCAGAATTTTTAAAGAGAGGCCTCTCCTTCCTCCCCCCCGTCCCCGTCCACCCAAAATAAAACTACTGTTTAGCACCTCCTTCTTTTGGCACCACACTGTCAGGGTGTTTTTGGTACATCACCAATCATCGCATTGGATGTGAGAATCAGAGACTGTGAGAAAGAGATTTGTGCTTGAGAGAATTTA